AAAAAAAAGAAAAAAGAATTTAAAGTAACAAAATGCTACTGAAATGGAATATAAATGAAGGAGAGAAGAATTACTAAGAGAATCAAGCGAATATACTATGCATAACAAAGAGATCTTCCAGCATCAGAGAACCCAAAAAACTGCCACTAGAAATGTACATACGAATGCATCACGCATACGACAGCCGACAGTCACCGACGACCTCGAAAGTCGTAGTTTTCTTCCTTTTTTTTTTTACCAAATGCAATTCGAATTTTTAAATTTTTTGAAAACACTATTAAAGTTCGTACGCAGTTCGACCGCAATGCTTCTTGCTGCTACAAGCCGCCGTCTAGACTCTGGTATTGCGCGGACGAGACCTTGTGTTTATGCCGTTGTCGCTTAGAATCACAGGCATAACCTCAATCCGCGGTCTAGGAGGGTGATGGTTAGGAAGTTAGTTGTGGCGATTGGAGTGTGTTTTTTGAGGCTAAGGTTTATAATCAGTGCAAAGCTTGATAATTATGTTTGGACCAGTTGGGCTGGACGTTTACAGAACCTTTCAATCTTCCTGCAAAATATTGCTGTTTTGAACTGTCGCAGTTTCGCTATTCGGGAGATGGAGTGGAAGAAAAGAAAAAGGCGATGCCTTGGTTTAGACTGTTTTTTCTCAAGTTGTTTTGGTCCGCCGCCCTTTTTTGAGAGTATCATTTTATCGTCACATTCTATCAGGTCGTCTTTCTATTTTGTTTTTCTTGCTGATCATTAATCATTTTATGATTTTCAGGCACCACTGTTAGCTTTCAGGGCTATGATGTTTGTTTTCCGTTTTCAGAACTATAGTTTCAGTTGAACGGTTAGTTGTTTTAAGTGAAATGCTGCAAACAGATAAATTACTGTTTGTTTCTGATGTACATGCTTTTTGATCACAGAAGAAGTCGAATGCCGATGAGTAATTTCGGGAAGGACAGTGGGCAGACTTTTGCAGTCTTTATCAAAAATTTGCTGCGTAGGAAATTGAATCATCGAGTTAAAAAAGGCATGAAGGAACTTCATGAGCATTGAGTACTTATGTTTTATGTATTTGTTTGTGGAAGTAAACTTTTTATTTTTGTTTTTTTTTCTTTGTAAACTTATTTTTTTATATTTCTTGACTCTAGTTTGTTGGAGCATTATCATAAAGGTTACTGCTGAGATCAAAGAAGTAGTTTGTTGAGTAAACTGATGGACGAAAAACACGGTCATCAGTTTAGTGCAGGTTTTAAGCAGTGTTTTAACATCGTCTGTGTGCTGATGACAGAAAAAGAATTCCAAACTTTTGTACCTTAACTCGTATAGCTGACTCAAACGACCGCATGACTAGTTTGAAGAATAGTCGGCCATTGGGAGTATGATCTTGAAAGTGTGTCAAAATGGTTCACTAATAGAAAGTGAAGAAGTATTTTTGTTGAAGAATTGTCGAGAATACCACAGTAAAAAGGAGCTGAAAAAGAAAGGTTTTTATCTGTATCATTCGATTGGCTTTTGTGTTATCAACTAAAGAACTTTTCTCTTTAGTTTTTACCTTTTACGAAATTTTTTGAAGTGTAGGAGACGAGATATTTTGTTTCGTCATTAACCAAACATTAAAAATCAAGAAACTGTCACGTCAATATGCTTTTCTGTGATTGGACTATTATTTTCGTTTACAATGACAAAGTATTCTGAACCAAAAATGGGAAAAGGTTTTTGACATGACAAGGACAACTGTTTGTTAATAGCTTATAAGTCGTCCTTTTATTTTTCTTCTTAATTTCTTTTTTTTACTTTTATAGTTATCTCCAGACGCTTAAGTCAAACGTTCTTTTAACCATTACACCTGTTTTACGATCGCTGTTGTATTTATATCTGCCAGCATTGTATTGTAATTCGTATCATCCGCTTAATTTTTTGTTCTGTAATACCAAAAAAAGCACTAAGAGGCGAAGTTGTATTGTACAGTTGTTACAGAATTCTGTCTGCTGGCAAAGGAACTTCTGTAGCAGTAGTATTTTTGCGAAATTATGACTTAACATTCTTTAGCGAAAAAAAATGCAGGATTTTCAGCCTGTAATCAAATTAACTGTCTAAAGGACAGTAATAATGTGTGGGGAAGGTCTTGGAACTTTTAGTTACACGTACGGTACTTCCATAACGTTTTTGTGTTAAACCACTGCTAATGAATACCAAGGAAGTTATTACATGATAAGTTTTTAAGTGCAAATTGCTGCGAAACATTTTAAAACAGTATTAACTCGAGTTTCTGTGTTATGACATATCTTCCGCAATTTTTGAGTGTAATTACAAAGCATAATTAGAGGACATGGTGGCGAGCGAAATGCAACAATTAGGTAGAATCAAGAACGTAAGCAGCTTCATTGAGGGGATGAAGGCGGTGCCTAGGTGGTTCATTTTAAACTTAAAACTTTCATCTTGAAAATTATACTTTTATTGAGCTCCACATAATTTGTCATTCCACTAGTACTTTACAACAGGCCATTAATCTTGAGGGCATGGTTTCCAGGACGCTACGTATAAACTCATCAGTCTTTTCATATGGCGCATTACTTCCCGAAACAGTCTTTCCATTCTTTCCACTCTTGATGGACACAATTCGGAAAACAATGTGTAGCAGTTCTCAAATTCTTGTTCGTAATTGTGAATGCGTCTAAAAGAAAGGAGTTTTGAAATAAAAAAAGGAAAGGGAGAAGTTTTGAAATCTGAATTGGAGAGATTGGCTACACTGTGCTGTTCTATTTGCATAGCTCAGAAACTGAGGTTAATTAGGCTGCCACAGTACTGGCAGTGCAGATTGTGTTTCGATTCAAATTGCTCTCTGCAAAGTTTTTAATCTGTTAGCGGTCATATTTCAGTTTTGATATCCTCCTGCTGTAAAAGCTCATTTCTGTGCAGCAATACGTATTAAAACGTTTTCAGTTACAGTCGCCGTTCTTGACCATACCAGTATTCATTTTCACAGTTTTTGCTATTTATAAAACAAAAAATTGTATTTATATCAGTTTTTTGTTTGTAGTTTGTAATCTAAATATATCACATGGCTAGATAACAACAACAAAAAAAAATTATCTGGCTTTAGCAAAGTTTTAAGACGTTTGCACTTGCTGTCATTTAGTCAGATGAACCTCCTAATGACTATTTTGGGCGAGGTATATATTCCAGAAACCATTCCTTTTCCGTCCTTCTTGTTTATTAGCTGTGGTCCTAATCTGATGGAAGTTCCAAGCGCAGAATGCAAAAATTTGAAAAAACACAAATGTCCTTTGCACTGTTTGCAATACCAGTGTTGAAGACTGTAAATAGACAGATAATTTGTTAAGGTTAAGCAATAAAAATAAACTTGTGTTTGCATCATGTATGTGATGGAACGGAAAATAAACAAACAAAACAAAAGTTGAAAAACCTAGAAGTTTTTTGTATTCCCTGATAAGCTTTTATTTTTAAATGCTACAGTAATTTACACACTTTACAAAATGAATCAATAGGAAACAGTTTTTTTAGCAATAAAACTGCCGTAAAAACTCCAGGTTTAACAGCATTGTTTATAAATGTATCTCTCCTTTTTATCTCGTAAGTCAAGGGTTTTTCTCATCTATAATTTTCCTGCACCCGAGAAAGAGCACCAATGGGACGTTTAGGAAAACGATATTGTGAAAAGCAAGATGAGAAAGGACCAAGACGAAAAATCAAAAAGCAAGACTGAACCTTCTGGAAGGATGATTGAAAAATGCTAAGCATTCGGGATGACAGTCCCTCTGAACGACAGATATTAGTATTTAAGCCTTCTAAAAAGCCAGATTAGCGGCACTGATGGAAACTATGCCTGCAATGCTCTAATAGAAATTGTTACTAATTTAGATTAAAAATGAAGTTTTGGTAAAAATTTTAATCGCGTTCTTCCTTCACTGTTTGACTGCAGACTTCAAGTTCCTTGAGCTGCAGACACAAGAAAAGTTGATTTGTATTTTAAGCTGCGACTAGGAAACTAGTTGAGGATGAATGGGGACTGTTTTTAATATCACTGCAAACATATTCGTCACTCCTCATAAATCTTTTTTATGTGGAAATAACAAGGGTTGTCCAAAAAAACGTGCACAAAAGTCAAACGGAATATCCAATCATTTTTCCGGACTATCTTGTAAAATATTTGGCACTAGACAAGAAGTAATCCAATAGTAGCTTTTGCCAGTTTTGTGGCGTGCATATTATTTACTTTTTTTTTTTTTTCAGTCCACCTTGTTCGTTTCATTACATGAAGATACAACCTTTTGATATCGGTTGTCTCCTACTTAGAGTTACTGTCCTTGCGCACTTAAAACCTTGAACAGTTATGTCAGTACTCTCAAAAAAAATTTGTAAGACCGTCGAATAAGTCAGCATTGTAATTCAAAGGACATAATTAGCATGAAACAAAAATCCCTTGTTCACATTTGGTTCACGACCTAACAAAGGAGAAAAAGGTCAACGGATAACCAGCTGCCCTGCCACCGCCATGGGACTGGACCAAGACAGGCCGTCATATCCGCAGCATTACCGCTGCAACCCATCAACAGCCACTGTGAATGCAGAGCGCATTGTCGACTGGTGAGAGTTTGCCTCATTGGCTTCCTGCCAACGAACAAGCGTTTCAACTGTAATGCGAAATCGGACGGCATCTCCGCATAGGATACGCAGTGGAGACTTAAACAGAGCTTGCTTCCAAGGTTTCTACGTGTCTTGAAATCAGCGCCTTGGCTGAGTGGCTTTAAAGCAAATGCTATTGTTGGTTAATTTTTGTGCAGTATCAGTCGGTGTAAATCATTTTGTTAGAAGCACTTGAAAAGTTGACTTTTATTAGTGCACGGTTTTTTTTTTTTTTTGTTTGTAGCTTACAAATTAAAAATGTTTAGTTATGTGTTACACTTTGTTTCTTCTTTTTTTGCTGCTATGATTGTTTCAAAAAGTAGGAACAGCAGTCAAGCAAAGGGGGGAATTTTTTTGTAGAAATAACATGTTGATTTCAACTTGTTTGGAGATTATCAACGGTGAACTATTCTTGAAGTTTATCTTTACATTTCACGATCCAGACTTAAATGTTGTTCGAAAAATTTTTCAAACTTTTTTGATTTAGAGAACGTGCTGCTTTAGAAGCGTTTTTGCACTTTGGTTATAACAGTAAGTGAAGGAATGGTGTCTTTTTCAGAGCGAGTTTTTTCAAAATGTTTTTT